AAAAAAAAAAAAGCAGCAAGGAAGAATTCAAATTACAATCTCTGTTTCTAAAAGACAAAAGCTTTATAATTTTCTGTATCCTAATGCTTTCACTTTCAAAAGCACCAGCACGACAACTCAAATCTTTGTTTATTTTTTGTTTATTCTTTTTGGGTATATATTTGTAGATAACAATCTTTCTTACCAATGTACCATATCTTTTATTCTCAACTTTCAATGGTTCACAATTCTGTAGTATGCGTGTTGGGTACATACCTATATGCCCAGTTAGGTATTTGAATATGTGTGCACTTGTTGCAAATATATGTGTATGATTAATATACAAATTTCATTTTTAGAAATAGCTGCAGACAATTTACTTAGATTCTTTCATTCTCCTACCCTATGTTTTTCCCCAGGTGATTTGTCATGTTGATTTCCACCAGATATTAATTTAATATATCTGAACAAAATATTTGTAAACATATTTATTTAATTACATATTAGGTTGTCTATTTTCCCATCACATGTAATCATTATTTATGCACAACTAAATTCTTATCATAATCAGTTTCTTGATTGTATTCATGGCTTGAATTACTTCTCTCCACATACATTTGTAGAAAGACTTGAAGAATGTTAGGACAACTTAGATCAGCTTTCCCCTCACAAACATATGGCAAAATAACTATTTACGGGAGCTGCATGTCTAGGCTTAGGTTGTCAATTACTTAATTACTTCAATTCAGTCTGCAAGATTTGGTTATTAGTTTTTCATCAAAAAATTCAAGAACCAATCTTTTCGTCTTTGTACATTTGACATTCTATGTATTGGTCGAAATATTAGGAAACTCTGTTAGTGTTAATACATGTGCAACCAAGTAATTATTCATTATGTTTCTATGCAACTTCTTGTTGTCCCTGATAAGTTATTTTAGAAACTAGCAATCATACATTTGCTGCAGGAGTTAGTTTTCATTTAACGGTCATTATTTAAGGACTCTATTTTCTTAAGTGTAAAGTTCCAATGTGGCAATACAGAATGCACTTATTTTCCTGATTGACTTCTAAATACTACTTATCTTACAGAATGGACTTATTTTCTTGAGTATATATATGCGTATATATTAGCGTTTCTGTATATAGAAGAAATATGGCAGGATATGGGTATGGATAAAAGAAAACAACTATTTGAACATTTTTGTGTTGCTTGTGTACTTTATTTACTTGTTCTGGCTTTTGTCATGTTCTGTATTTGGATTACTTGGGGATCGAAATTCTGGCTTAACAATAGAGTTTCATAAATCTCAATTTCTTGAATGGCAGATGAACATATGGAAGGACAGCAATGCGGCATGGCCAGTAGCCAATCCAGTTATTACTTGTGCCTCTATTTCTGATGCCGGTTTTCCAACTAATTTTGTTGCTGATCCTTTTCTTTACGTGCAGGTAATTCTTTTATTTCTATACTTCTCTGTAGTGGTTTTTAAAGGTTTTCTGTTTAAAGAATTTGTGCACTGTATATCTGTTTGTGTGCTTTTGGTCTTTTGGGCATTTTGTCCTTCTTTGTGATTAAAAGTAATTCAAATATACTCACATATCTGTTTTGTTTTTAGTATTTTATTATGTATAGAGTGGTTAATGGAATATGTTAATATTATATTCTTCTGCAAGATGCTCAAGAGGTAAAGCATAAAGATGCCCAATATTTCAAGTGGGTGAGGTGTAAAATAGATGTTGAGGGAAAGAATAAAGGAAATTAGTTCATCATGGAAGAATGTTTACTTTGGTTTTCATATGTTTACTTTGGTTTATTCATATGTTTACTTTGGTTTTCATATGTGCTTACTATTTTTATAGCATTTACCTTCTATTCTTTAAGAAAGAAGATTATGTTAATGTTAATTATTGCCCTTTGAGGTTTTTTGTTTTTTTGTTTTTTTTGTTTTTTTTTTTGTGGCATCTCTTGAATTTTCCTTATACAGTTCAGTTAGAAGAGTTACCTATTATTTATTCTTTTTTCTTGGGTTTTGTTTGGGGGTGAGCAGTGTAAGATGGTTGGTGTTGGTAGGGTTGGGATTATAGATTAGAAATTGGAATGGTGCTAAACAGCTAAATATAAGCTTTGGTAATGTATTTTGAGACTACTATGTAAATATGTTGGCTAGGATGCAATGATGCTCAATTCTTAATGTGAGACTAACTCCATAACCATATGTACCCTGACATGTCTTGCAACAATATAAACATTTGTCGTAATATGTTGTGTATGTCTAAATTATAGTGATCATTTCTCATGATTGTTGCTCCGTAGCTAGTATGCCCATATAAGCTAATTCCTGAGGAAGTCGTTAATAGAGTCAAGGGCCTAATAGGTTGTTTCAGCACGTGCATTTGGTTTATGATTGTGTACCATTTTGCATGGTTTTTGTTTATTTCTTGGTTGTAATATCAATGAAGAACTGCATCAATAAATGAAAAAAGAAGAGTGAAAATCTGTTGATATTTACTCCAATTATAGAACGCCAGTTATCTTTGTACTTCTTCAATTTGGTGTTTTCTGTCTGTTTTCCCAGCATATAACATGGTTCTAATATTTGATCACGTTTTTTCAGGGCGATATCCTTTACATGTTTTATGAAGCGAAAAATTCAATTACGGAGCAAGGAGATATTGGAGTATCACAGAGTATAGACAACGGCGCCACATGGAAGCAGTTGGGCATAGCACTCGATGAGGATTGGCATCTTTCTTATCCATACGTCTTCGACTACAATGGAAATGTAAGAAAAACCAACTTTTGTTAAAAATGAGTGGATTTCAACCTCATAAAAGTCTTATCGAATATCTCAACTTGGGCTGGAGAGTTTTTTACTTTTTTATTTTTTATTTTTTTTGCGCTATTTTCTTTTACTTTAGATATATATGATGCCCGAGGGCAGTGAAAAAGGCGACCTTCGCCTCTATCGCGCGGTTGACTTCCCTTTGAAATGGACGCTTGACCGAATCATCCTACAAAAACCCCTTATCGACTCCGTTATATTTCCTCACGAGGGTCGGTTCTATCTTTTCGGTTGGCATCACAAAGGAATCGTCTCCACAAAAAACGGACACCTCGAGATATGGCACAGCACCACACCCCTCGGCCCATGGAAGCCTCACGCTCAAAACCCTATACACAACACCGACAAGTCAATGGGGACCCGCAATGGGGGCCGCCCTTTTGTCTATAACGGGAATATTTATCGTGTGGGTCAAGACCGTGGTAACACCTACGGGGAAAGGACACGCGTGTTTAAAGTCGAAATATTGACCCCCAACGATTATAAAGAAGTCGAGGTTGAACTACTTTTAGAAAAGTCGAGTAAGGGAATAAACGCGTGGGACGGGGCCCGCCGCCATCACATGGACGTGCAGAAGTTGAGCTCCGGCCAATGGATCGCAGTTGTTGACGGTGATAGGGTTCGCTCGGGAGATTCGTCTCGTAGATTTGTTCTCGGGTGCGTTTCGGTTATTTTCGTTGCCACATTATTAACACTCGGTGGGATTCTGGTTGGGGTCGTAAAATGCGCAATACCGTTGAGTCACAACAACGTGGACAAAAGAAAGAGACCAAATTGTTCGTCGAGGTCGAGACTCGGTTTTACCCGTTTGAACCGAGCGAGCGCATTCATGTACGCTAGAATTAGAGTGGGCACTTGCGTCGGCGCAACGGTGGTTTGCATAATTGTGGTAATAATTGTGATTGTGACGTGCTTTGGGGTGGAGTATTTATACGGTGGGAGTGGTGCGCACGAGCCATACCCTATAAACGGCCACTACTCGCAATTCACCCTTTTAACCATGACTTACGATGCTCGTCTATGGAACTTAAAGATGTACGTGAAGCACTACTCGAGGTGCTCGTCCGTTCGAGAAATTGTGGTGGTGTGGAACAGAGGATCTCCGCCCAACGCCACCGATTTCGACTCGGCGGTTCCGGTGAGGGTGCGCGTAGAGGATCGCAACTCGCTCAACAACCGGTTCAAACCCGACCCGCTCATAAAAACTCGCGCGGTCCTCGAGCTGGACGATGACATCATGATGACGTGTAACGACGTGGAGCGGGGTTTTCGGGTGTGGCGCGAGAATCCCGAGAGAATAGTCGGGTTTTACCCGCGGCTGACAGCTGGCATGGAGTACAGAGGGGAGAAGTACGCGAGGGAGAGAGGGGGTTACGACGTGGTGCTGACCGGGGCAGCTTTTGTGGACCATCGGGCGGCGTTCGCGAGGTATTGGGGGGAAAAGGCGGGAAGTGGGCGGGCAGTGGTGGATGGGTACTTGAATTGTGAGGATTTGCTGATGAATTATTTGTGGGGCGGGGGGGTGGAGTATGTGGGGCCCACGTGGGTGGTGGACATGTCGAAATTCTCGGGTGTGGCGATTAGTAGGAACACGAAGGCACACTATGGGGTGAGGAGCAGGTGTTTGAGGGAGTTTGCGGATATGTATGGGAGTTTGAATCGGACTAGAATGGAGTTTGGGCGAAGGAAAGATGGTTGGGATGTGTAAATGTTTCTATTCAAATCAGCCTATTTGTTTTAGTGTTTTATGTGATTTTGGTAGTGGAGTTGTTTTTCTTGGAAATTCTCTCTATTCACTCCCAAACCGTGACTTTTATCTATTATTTTGTTGGAGTAAAATATAAAAACACATTTTTGCATCGTCACTTTTCAGATAGTTATCCATGTATCTTACCTTTCTTAAAGTATTGTGCTAAAATTATTGAGGATGTGCAGGAATTTTGAATGTGTAATGGTATTTTTTAATTTTAGAAAATGACAGAAAATTGACAAGAAATTCAAGAAGTACCAAGCAAAAAAAGGATGGGGGACTGGGACGAGGAATTGAGGCCACATCCCCAATTTGTAAATACATCAAAACCTGAAGCGAATACAAGATCAGTCTACAATATAAAGAAGTCCTATAAAGAAATCTAGATGGAAAAAAGAAAATCAGAATCAAAATAAAAAACTACACGCGGGCTAAGAAGTGCCCAATATAAAGTCTCCTTCACAAATGTAGGCTAAAGTATAATCAAAATCTAAAATTAGTAAAAACGAAAAGATGGGTAACCAAGTTGGTCCATACGCACCAGTGTGAGGAGACGGCGTGAGGCGGTGTCAGCATGGAACTATGATGATGAGTTTTTCAAAGTTATAGAATTCGTTTTGGGGACTGGCCCTAGAAACAACAACGTGCATCTTGAATGTAGTTCAACCTAAATCAGTTGCAACTACTCCGAGTGAGATTTGATAAGTGCATTAACTGGAAGAGTTAATCGAGGGTGTAAACCGACCTTGGACCGATTTCATTCTCATATTCACTAGATTATTGTTTATTTTCAGTTTCACCATCTTTTGCATTTTAATCATTCATTTCTTGTTTTAGTTTAATTTATTGTTTGCTAGTAGTGTCATTTAAATCAAAACCCACATTTTCACTTTAATCTTTGTAATACAAAATAATCACCATTTATTTCATACTCCTCATGGGATCGACCCTTACTCGCCACTACTACTAGTAAGTAGGGGATAGTCGAGGAAAATTTTATAAATCTAAATTTGCGGCGTTGCGACGCGTGGTCACCCACGATCTCTATTGTGCCCAACTAGTGGGATGATCCGAGCATCATGCCCACGATGGTCCATCCCTCCCAACTGGTAGACTGGTCCGTGCATCGCACCAGTGACAGAGCCTGGCGTGTGCATGCACACTGGGAGCCCGTACGCACTCGTCCAGAATCAAAATCATGTCCAGTTTTTTCCGACTCGTCCACCGAACCCTTCTAGAGTTATGACATGCTCAATGAATGATTCTAACTCGTTTAGATCGTCCAAACATTCGTAAAAGATAGAACGTCTGCGAATTCAATAATATTTGAGTTACTTAACTCAATTTTGAGTTACATAAAAAAACTCAAGTTCCCCATATTTCAACAATAAAATTAATTTCTCATGTAACCTAAAATGGTTTTGAGATTTTATTCCAAATCTTCCACTTACGATAATAAAACCGTAAAATGGGTAAAAACCCAATTTTCTTCTACTCCCTACATCCATCTTGATGCAGCATGCATAATGCCAGTCCAGTTCAACTCGGGTTCTTAAGTAAAGATATATGATATTAGTTAAATACCTATGAAGATTTAAGAAACATTTCTAAAAGATATCCAAAATAAGTTTGTGTATAACTACACTTTAATTCATAATAAGGATGGACAGTTTGGTTATTAAGGAAATCCTTTTCTTTAGGAGAAAGCTATTAAATCCCTTATAAATAAGGAATTCAGGTTCATTTTCTAGACGAGTTTTTCAATTACAATACGTTTGAGAATAAGATTTGTGATTTGAGTTTCAGAGCATAGGTTATATTGTAGATTGACCCGATTCGTAATGCAAGCGATGAGACGAGGCGATTCAACCCAAAATTTTGGTGAGCTGATATTTCAGACACATCACATCTCACCATCTTGGTAGCGTTTTCTATTGAGGACCTTGAAAAGTTGATAAAGCTCTTACCTTTCCCAAGATATGCGTATATATTTTCATGCTATAGACAAACTAATCCNAAGACTTTGATTTATACTTCTGTATGGAATCATTTGCTTTATTTGGGTTGTTGTGTTACTTGATTGTTGCCCAAGCGAGAAAGTCTTGGGAGTCTTGTCTTTATATGCTCTCTCTCTTTCTATCAGGTGTCTCAGATTGTTTTACTGCAATTCAATGGTTCTCATATGCCCTTTCCATTGAGAGGTTTGAAAATGAATAAATAAATAAATAAATAAATAAAACTCTTATTTCAAGATATTCACTCCCTTTCATTTGTTTTATTTTTGTCCCTTTGAGTCAGAAAAATACAAAATCTAAAATGCAGCTGCATAAAGTTCAGAAAAATTACAGAGAATAAATAGTCTTTTTCATTTCCTGCAAAGTTGTAGCTATAGATACATAAAACATGGAATTGATCTTGTTCTTTGGATACGAGTGTGAAGGTGGAAATTAGGAAATTTAAGGCAAAATATAATGTTGGTAATTGTCGAGGAAGATAATATGGAGAAAGAGTTTGATTCCAAGCTTAGAATAGAAAAAGATCCTTCATCAAATGCTGGTATCAACAATCATCCTCAGAGATCCAAGAGCTTTGCGTTTAGGGCTCCACAAGAAAATTTTAGCATCCAAGACTTCGAATTGGAGAAGATTTATGGAGTTGGTTCCTATTCCAAGGTCCGTTTTCTTGTTCCTACTTCAGGACCACCATTAGTTTTTCATTTCCTTTTCTGTGAT